GATTTAGCTCAGTGGCAAAGCGCCTGCCTGGCAAGCGCAAGGTCGTGAGTTTGGTTCCCAGTACCGGAGAAAAACCAAAAAAAAAAAGAAACACAAGGCGACCTGGTGACAGCCCTGATTTTCCAGAGAGGTGGAGGGTGGGATGAGGAGAAAGTGGGAATAGTCTTGAGGCTAGAGATGAAATGGAAACACCGCCAAGGGATGGCTAAACCCTAGAAACTTAACTGAGACGCCATGCCTAGGGCTCAGCTCAGTTTAGCCACCAAAATTAATACAGGGCTAGAGTTTTGCTCAATGAGTACAGCAGCTGGCTGAGTTGGAAGGAAACTGCAACTGGGATGATTAACAGCAGGTTCCAAACTGGGTATGGAAGGAAGAGAAGCCAGACGGGAGGGGACGTACTGGAAACCAGGAAGGATCCACCTCGTGCCATCAGCCATTTGGGGCAAGAGTGGAGAAAGCCAGGAATGTGCACTTGCTGTGAAGGGGGCACGTTCAGCTGCACTGCGGAGGAAGGTCTGGCCTCTGGAAAGCCCCTGCTCGCCGTCTCCTCTCCTCTTATCCATCCCTCGCACAACAGACCAGCCTCAGGCTCCGTCCTCGGCCCTCTAACTCTGCTCACTGCCCGTGCAGTCCTCCCCACACCCATGGCCTAATTCCCACATCGCCACGTCCACTCCAGCTCCAGACCGTCCCCAAGCGTCCTCTGTGTATCTCCAACTGGACTCTGCAGACCCTTCAGTGTCACACAGGGCCAAGACTGAACTCATCTTCCCCCGAAATGAGCTCCTCCTCCTCCTCCTCCTCCTCCTCTTCCTCCTCCTCTTGTGTTCCCAATCTTAGTTCATGGCAACCTCACGATCTACCCAGATGCCCATGTCATAAGCCAGAGTCACCTTCAACTCCTCGTCAGCATCCCCCAATCCAACAAGCGTGACTGACCCAACCTGCCTGCGGAAACACCTTTACAAACTCTCTTCTCTACCCTGTCCACTCTGTCTGCTACTACCTTAATAGGGCCTTCACCATCTCTCTGCCCTTCCTGCTGGCCAACCTCTTGCCTTGATCTAACTGTTCATTAAACTCAGCTGGGGAGCCTTCAAAAAGACAGGTTTCAGGAGCTGAGGAGGTAGCTCAGAGATACAGTGTTTGCCTAGCATGTGTGAGGCCCTGGGGATAAAAAATAAAATAAAAACCTAAAAACCTAAAAAAAAAAATCCAGATTTCTGATGCACACATTGGCCCTTCCCAGTGTGATCCTATGAATGGGATCCAGGAAAGTATAATTCTGAAAATAGCTTGGTTGACATTTTGCAGCCAGGGCAGGCAGCACTTGGAAACTACTGCTCCATCAGCAGGAGTAAACTCCCAGCTTTTGTCCCCTGGCAACAAGCAGCACACCCACCTCAGGCCTTGGATGGCAGTCCCCTCCTTCTGCCTCCCAGGACTTCGCCCTGTCACCTTGTACCCTCCGCTGGGTCTTGCCCAACACTGTCCCAATGAACTAAGATTCTTTCACCTTTAAGGAACTCTCCCTGCCGGCAGGGGTGACCAAGTATGGCTCACTGGCCTGCACTTTGCGACTGATTTTCTTAAAAGTGCTTCCCAAGCCCAGGGTCTCGATTTTCCATCCACTTAGTCCTTGGCCAGCCCTTTCGCACTTCACTCGCTGACTACTCCACAAGCTAACCCAGAGAAGTTCTAGGCGGCTCCTTTCTTTCCCAAAAAGTCACTTCTCGGACTCTTCCGCAGTGTGTCAGGCTGCTAGCCGCTCCTCTGGGATCCTCTCCTCCCCAGCCCTTTCCCCAGTTCTGCTGCTCTCCCTTTAAATGTTAAAATGTCTGCTGGTCCTGTCCCCGATTCTTGTCACCTTCCACTGCCCTCTGACGAGTTCACAGCACACTTCGGAACTGCCCACTCCAGCTATAAACAACTGTCCCCTAATTCCTTCCCTCTTGCCTCTGCCGAGCTCCAACCCTCACAGAAGCCTTCTCCCAACTGTTATGCCCAACAAACTCTTACTCAACCCTCAAAACGCAGCTCAAGTTCCACCTGCGGTGGGAAGTGTTTTAACAGCTGTGCCCATCAGCCCACCTCCTGCCAAAAACCACCACACCGAGCATGGTTGTTCATTTCTTTTTCTTTTTTTCCTCCAGATGCTGAGCTCCCTGCAAACTACACCCGGGCTATATTAACCATGCAATTAGTGTTGGTTGAGTGCATCTTTACACAGTGAGTATACTGTGAAGTAAGTAAGTATGGCGTATGTCATACACGATGCATGTATTACTCAACAGAGAGTTGAGTGACAGCGCTTGTCTACAAGTAGGTGTCTAAGATAAGTCATGAACACTATTTCTATGCGATTTTACGGTCATAACCACATGAGGGGGCAGACAGCAAGGCAGTTTCAAATGAATGGTCACAAATGCCCCTGCCCTGATTTACTGCCCTGGCCCCACAAGCTGTCTTTAGCATCTTGAAAACACCCTGCTGCACCTGCTTCAGGCTTCGCTCCTGTGTCCCCTTTCTTCAAAAGGAAGGTTTTGTTGTTTTTTTTTTTTTTAACAAAACTCTAATGTGTCTGGCTGCTTCACACTACTTGGCTCTCAGCTCGAATGTCACCTTCCCAGACCTCTTCCCTGCCAACACATGTTAGAGCAATGTCAGCTACACCTCCAATGTCAGCTACACCTCCTGTCACTGCTGAAAGCACCTGCACTCTCTGTGAACCTATCTGACACTGGCCTCCTTTACCCTGTTTACCACTTTAACCCCTCTATGTCCTCTTACTCCAGACACCTGGTGAGTGAATGGATGAGAGACAGAAAGCAAGAAAGCAAGTTTGACACTAAAATGTCATTATCTGCCAGTCACAAATCTGGGGGAGACGCAGGTGGAGGAAAAGAAGGGGATTTCTTCCTCAAAGGAGATTGTTATGTTCCACCCTTGGGAGCAGGGTTAACCAGATGTATTCTCCTTCTTCAGGATACTTATGTAGGAGCAGAATTTTGACTTACACAAGGGCCACACAACTTCTTCTCAAAAGGAAATCCCTTCTCTCTAGGTAGGTAGCTTTGTTGGAGAAAAATTTTAAAGCACGATAACTGCTAACATGCAGATTTGCCAACTGACCAGTCCTGGAAAACCTGTGCCTAAACTCCACTGTAAACACCGTAAACTTTAGGGCAAGACTTGTTCATCATTGCAGCCAGGCTTGTTGGCATGGGCCTGTAATCTCAGCACTCAGGTGGTTGAAACATGAGGACTGTTATGAGTTCAAGACCAGCCTGGGCTACACACTGAGTTCAAAGCCAGCCTGGACTACACAGTGAGACCATGTAGGGTAAACAAAGACTTGTTGATTATTGTGTTCCCCGCACCTGCCACAGTTCATCCACAGCACTACTATTATGTGTTAATGAGCACATAAAGCACAGCAGCAAGAGGAAAGGCCATCCTTCCAAGTCTTACACTGGATACACTTACTTTAGAGAAAGTTTAAGACAGCTGAGGTGGATCCTCTGGGCCAGGCCTCTCTCAAGGCAGTGGTTTCGCTCCTAAAAGTCACCTAGCTGTGCCACAGATAAAGTTTTACCTTCCCCAGAGTCACCCTGTTTAAAATTTGAATACCCTTTGCTCACATAATCTCATGGTTCATATAGTACAGCAACTAACAGCAGATCTCTCTTGCCTTCCTAAATTTTTTGTATGTATTTTGGTCAGCAATGATAACTGAAAATTCTGAACAAAGAACAACTAAAACTAAAGAATCTTATTGCTAATGTTATATCTGCCAGTGTCTTGTGATCTTAGGAAAACCACACCACCTTCTTGAACTGTCAGCTTTATCAAGTCATGATGTTCTTCATCCAAAAGGTAATTTTGGAAAAGGTTGATTTGCTTGTAGCTAAGGGTCTCTAGGGTGAATGCATGAATGATTCCCTAAGGGTCTTCACATTATCAAATTATGAAATGGGATGTCATGGCTATTAAAGCCACTTCAAAACCTAAGCTGCTGAAAAGTGAGGAAGACGTTAAATTGTGCCCGTGGTTCTGACAGTAACTCTTAGACTAAGACGAATTCTTAGAACATATCCATGACATTCACAATAGATCTTGGGAACTATTTGGAAATGTCAGGCGTTCCTGCACTGTGGCAACATTAACAGCACATGCAGAGATAGGAAGTGGTAACAGCGATAAGCAACGGCAAATCTGTAGCGTTTAAACAGCTCCCTGCTGGAGGAACTGCTTCATATCAGGGTTCTTTGGTCAAAACACAATCCACTTTACGGAAAGACAATTAAACACAACGTCATGGGAGAAAGTTGTTTGCAAGGCTGTATATACTCCTCCGCCCTCCGCCTGCCGACCACGATGACGCTCCAGTAAAATGTAGCACATCCAACAGTCAGGCGTGCCAAATGACTTCCTAACTTCCCTCTACTTTAAAGCACTTTGATCAGTGTTTGTCTAAACTCTTCAGGGAGACTGGGGAAGAACACGTCCAAGCAAAACCGAGCTCCTGAAATAGAGGACGAAACGTGGATGTGGGGAAAGAAGCGGTTAGGTCCCACTGTAGCCTCAATGAATGGGAACGGTGACAGGGCACGCGGCAGGCGTCCAGCATCGACTCCTCCGGGACAGCCTCTTTTTCCAGCCTGGCACCCGCGTCGCCAAGGGCAAGGGCCGGGGCCAAGAGAACCGCAGGGCACTAGCCCGACCCCACCTGCCCAGCCCACTTGCAGCAGCGCGGGGGCTGATGCGCGTCGCACCAGAGGTGCGGCTGGGGCCGCGCTGGCGGGGGGACCCTGTGCCCAACGCCCCTCCAGGCTGAGGTGGGGGCGGGGGCCCCGGGACCCAAGGGCAGCAACTACCAAGATTGGGGCGCGGGGATGGAAGGTACGGTCCCCAACCTCCAGCAAACCCGAGGATCCCCGCTGTCCCCATCAGAGGTACCCAGGGTGGCGCGTAGGATGGCGGGGGCCGGTACTCACAAAGCCCACTGGAGCCCGTGCTGGTAAACATGATCCCGCCGGCCCCGAAGCCCCCGCGGGGGGCCGGGGGGAGGGGAAGCGGAGGTTGAGAGCCCCAGCGATCGCGCAGGCGCACTCCCGGCGGGGCAGCGAATCTGCCGCCGCGAAGCCGCGGTAGGGTCGCCAGGCACACCACGCATGCGCAGCCAGTGAGCGCACCAGTTGGACCGGCGCCCGCCCTTCCTGCCGAAGAAGGGAAGTGCGTCCTCAGCGGAGGGCCCGCCCCTCTGGGCTCTTCCAAAGGCCTCAGGCGCTGTTGGGAAAGGAAAGGGATTGTGCGGGAAGGGTGGAAGTGAGGCTCCTGTCCGCCCTGCAAGAGTATCCAACCCCGCCCTCGCGACCTCTAACCTCTCCCCGGACGGTGTTCCAGTACGCCCCGGCGCATGCTCAGTACGTCCGCGCTGGTCTCCGAAGCTCGCAACTCTCGGGCGTTGTGGGCAGTGAGCGCCAGTTCGGGGTCCGGGACACGTCCAGGGTCCGGGATCCGGGGTCCCGTCCAGTCTGAGGGCGCTCCGGATGCCGGAGCTAACCATCCTTCCAGTCGTCGGGACTGGTGCCGTCTACCTGCACCCAGTTTGCGCACGTCTTACAGAATGAAACTAGTTTTTGCTAAAGTCTAGCTTTTGCAAATGATTTTAAGCCTGAAAATTTTATGTGATAATCGTTTAAAAAGTTTTGAAAGAATACATATGGGGAAATTACAGGGCTAAAAGAGAACAAGTTGCAAAACTATGTACAGCATACTGTAAAAATTTTCTTTGTGAGCTTATAAAGAAGCAGAGGTTTGTAAATCAGTAAAATACAACCTGCCCTCAGAGGAAGATTCCAGTGGTGGTGGTGGGGAAAGATTCCAGTGGGTGAAAATGTTCACACTGATTATTTCTGGAAGGCAGGAGTATAAGTGACTTTTATTTCCTTGAGGCTTTGTACGTGGTTTGTTCACATGTTATCTTGCTGTAATAATTGACTTTTTTTTTTTAGGCTCATGCAGTTAAGTCATTTTGCAGAAAAGTAATAGTATAAAGTCCACTGTGTTGGAAGGCGCCCTTGGTCCCCAAACCTATAGCCAGAAGAAAACTGGTTCTCAAGGTGTCGGTCAGGACTCATGACCCATATAGGGGCTCCAAAGGACCAGAGTCACTTTGCTAGTAATGCTAATGCATTTTTGTTTTCCACTCTTAGCGAGTATATAGTGGAGTTTTCCACTCTACACTTGGAAAAACTGCAAAAACTATGAACCAGTATTTTCCAGTTGACCAGTGCCTAATGTTATGAAATCATGGAAAAGCAATTTAAGCTGCAAGACAAACCAGTAAAGTTTAGGATACAGAGTACAAAAAAATCACTGTTATAGTTTCTGATTCCTCATACAATTAATTTTTAAGAAACTACCACTTAAATTATATTGTAATATCAAAAAACAATGTCCTTGTTATTTAAAAAGGCTATCAAAATGCTTGCTTTTCCAACTCCCAAATCTGTGAGATGAGATTTTCTATATATATTTCAGTCAAAAAAAAAATCACAACAAACTAAAAGCAGAAGCAACTAATGCCAGGGGACTCCTGTTAAGCCAGATATTAAAGACCTTCTCCAGAATGTGAAGTAATGCTCTTCACCGTAATGTTTTGCTTAGGAAAGTACCATGGTGTCAAGTTGAATGTTTGAACATATCTGTACAGTAAGACATTTTCCCTAGTTTATCTAAGAGGTGAACTCATCATGACTGTGAACACTTTACAAAGAGAGCTGACAAAGACAGATTTTAAAAAAAAATTAGAAAAAAAATTTTTTTTTTTTAAAAAAAGACAGATTTAAAGAAACCTTGAAAATCAATATTGTTCCTGGAATTTGTTTTGAACTTTAATCCAATGGATTTAAAGTGCTATTCTTACAGAATTGCACAAATTATAACAAGTTGTAGCAATCTAAATAATATTGGAGAAAAAATGCCGACTATGTAAGACATTAATGTAAGAAATGTAAATAATTATTTTTGGGTGTTAACATATGTAACAGGATCTATATTAAATCGAAAGTAGTAGATAATCAGCCATGAAATTTTTGTTGCAAGGCAGTTGTTTCTACATGACAGTGGAGCTTTGGAGAGTAAAACATTGAGTGGAAAATTTATTTGCCAATATACAGACAGTGGACACTCAGGGTTGTCAAAACTTGAAGCCCTTAAAAAAAATTATTCCACAGGAAAACTTTTTCCTTTTCCAGTATCAATGTGCAACAGATGGAGCCATAGTTATGATCAGCCAGTAATGGGTTTATAAACAGCTGAAAAGGAGCAACAGCCAGGAAGCAAGTCACTGAATTACACATTGTCTACCTCAGTCACCCAAAATCGTGTAGGGAAAGACCCACAAGTCAATGAATGTTATCAGTGATGTTAGTAAGATTACTGTCTGCTGTAGTCAGAGCTTGCAAGGGAAACAATTTAATACAGGACACATAATTTATAGGATTATTTTATTGTAGTCACCGAAGAGTCAAATACAAAAGAGTGCAGGAAATCTGCCCACACACTAAAGACCCAACAGATCCAGCGGAGGGCCTGAATCCCACGGCTTTGTCCTGCATGAGTCCAGCTGAAGACCTAGAGCCAATGACAATGCCTCCCACAAGTCCAACTGGAGGCCAAGAGCCCACAACAATGTCTCATTCAAGTCTGTACCAAGGATCTACACTGGGAAGGCCGAAAGGCCAGTGGTGGAAGCTAGGAAGTCTGTACCAACAGGATGAAGGATCTGTGCCAGCAGGCTGAGGGATCTGCACTGTAGCCAGGAAGCGATGCTCAAAGTAAGGACCAGAGCTCCCCGGAAAGTGAACAGCAGCCATTCTCAGTGACAACGAGGTCCCGAGCTCTTTTGATGAGAACAGCAGAGTTCATATCAGCAAAGCCAGCGTGACAAGCTTCTCCAGGAGAACCAACAGCACCACCTCTTCCTCTCCAGTTCTCCTTTTATGCTGTTGGTGACAATCCACAGGTGGGCCCTCCACACCCAGCACCACGCTGATTCAGTTCAGCAGGGTGTTACAAGTTGACCACCAGTTGTCAATCCACTACGCTATCAATGCCTTAAATAAAACATTATCTTGTAACTTTGTAATGACCATAAAAAGGAGTCTCTTTCTCTTATCCTACATAGGAAATAAGCATTCAAAAGAAAATTGTTTTAAAATATTTATTCTTTGACACCCAATTTTTGTTTCACTACATGAGAAATTATATACAGTAGTAATGTAAAACATTACAAAGTGCTTTGACCTGTATTTTTTTTGTTTTGTTTTGGTACCAGGAATCAAACTTAAGACCTTCTGCTTGCCAGGCAGGCACTTATGAAGCTGAGCTATATCCCCAGCCCAACTTGTGTTTTATTTATGTATCAGAAATGCTAAGTGAAACTGTTACACTACAAGCACAATTGGTATTACTAAAGAGGAATGATTATCATAAGTTTTCAATGGATTTAATCATTTTAGGAGGTTTCTTGCCCAGAATTTTCACAGTTCTGCTGTCTTTAGTAAGTAAGACTAGTTGTAAGGATAGTGGTCTGGAACCATAGTACTAATCTGAATGCTGCCTTCAACATGTATCATGATTTACCAAAAAATTGATATGGATTTATAATACCAAAGTAGGTGATTAATCTACTTGAAAATGAGGAAGGGTATTAGTTAGTGTTTACAGGAAATTTGTAATTTAGCTTAAAAAATGGATACAAAAGAATTACTACTTAATACAAAGTTATATTTATTAAATAGCTAAGACTCACTGGCCATTTATTTATTTATTTATTTATTTATTTATTTATTGTCTTTTTGAGACAGGATCTCTCTATGCAGTTCAGGCTGGCCTTGAGCTCACTTCGTAGCCCAGGCTGGTCTCGAACTGGCAACGATCCTCCTGCCTCAGTCTCCCGAGTGCTGGGATTACAGGCACCCGGGTGTGCTCACTGGTCTTTTAAAATGGGAACAACACTATTATAGCAGTTTTAGCTCCACATTTCAATTTAAAGGGTTTCAGTGCAGTGGGATAGTAGCACAGTGCCACAATTACTGGAAAAGCAACAAGATGTAACAGAACACTTGGCATTCCTTTCAACAGAAGTAGAACCCATTCAGTTTCATCAGTAAAATTAAAAACGTGATATTATTGCCATCTGTCTGAGTTTGGGTCTCTGCACAGACACTGACGCAAAGTTACAAGCAGTTTGTTTCAGGCACAAGCAGTTTCAGGCACAAGCTAGCACGGCAGGCAGATGGAGCTAGATCCCACAGGGAGGTCCCGGGAACTGGTGCCTCAGGGTAAGCCCCAAAGGGCCAGGGAGCTGGGTGTTCACCCATGGACTCCTATCTGTCACCAAGGCCCTTCCCAAGCAGCAGCAACTGCCTACCACCTGCAGCCTGCCGCATGAGTGAACAGACAAGCTCTAGTGGGGGAGCAAACCGGGAACTGAGTCATAGTGGGGAAGGATGTGCCGATGTGTGAAGACTTGGGATAGGACAGGGAACCCTCAGCACCTCCTGTACCACCTTGTTTATGCTGTTTGTGGTTTCGCAGCATGCTGACAGAAAAGCTCTTTTGAGAAAGCTACATACATGGTAGAAGTGATGGTTGTGGAGGTTCTAAGAGGGTTGGGGTTCCCCCAGTCTTCCTGCAGTACACACCTTAGACATCCACAGCACCATTTCTCTGGAGCTTTTTCTCTTTCCATTTCATCTGTTTCCCATGACAATGCAAAGAATATGGTCTCTGGGGCCTTCTTAAATTCTAGAGATGGAATAGATGCCTTCACACGGTGGGATTTCAGAGCATGACGTAAGGTTTTTATGAAACTTCATCACTAATCCTTCAAAACACAGGGAAGCGCTTTGAAGCCTCTCGTTCAGAGACGACCGCATCTGATGCTACTGTGCTTCCTCGTCTTCCCCAACCTGGCTGCTGTTTGTTGGAGGCCAACCTAAAATTACTTTCCTTTTCCACATCACGTGCAAGCATGTGTGATCTCTTGCTACCAAATACATACTTACTCATCCTATGTGAGTTGTCATTCTTCTATGCATCATACATCAGCTTTCATTCTTTTATTCATTGTGGCCCCAACAGAACAAAATCAGAAGCAGGAGGAAGCCCACTGGCACGTATTTTCTGTGTCTGTGCTTTCTGGCTATCATGAGGTGAGGAGCTTTCCTCCGCCATGCCCTTCCACCATGATGTTCTGCCTTACCTCATTCCCAGAGTAACAAAGCCAGCAGACCATAGACTGAAAGCCCTAAAACTGTGAGCAGAAAATAACCTTTTCATCATTTAACTTGTTATTCTCAGGTATTTTGTCATAGTAACAGAAAGCTATCTGTCAGAGCAAGACAA